TAATTATCTAAAATCGATGAGCAGTTCGGCCCGCCACCGAAACTACCTGCGGACCGCTTTGCGCGAATAACGTTTTTCGTGAAGTACGAAATAACGTACCGTAACTTTTGCGGCGGGCGTGGCGGTCTGCGGCATGAATAGAAAGCACCTTTAATTAAAAAGGAAAACTTACTACCCCGAAGAAGATTACGAGCACGTGCATTTGTAGGTTTCGTATCAAGGTTGAATATATATTGGGTTCCCTCGAATCGATAAAATTGTGCAAAAACCAAGAAAAGAAACCCCGCGAAAATGTCTTGCGAGGCTGAACAAAAATATAAAATATCCTCCTCCCACTTGCAAGTACCGTATATCCCACACGTCGATGGTGCGTCAATAATATAATCGTAACTGTGCAATCTTTCGCGAACATATACGCGGAACAGATTTCCCCTTCCGCGAAGAGGCCGCGAAACACACAATCAGTCATTCCGTATTTTTGTAGCCGCGCGGGCAAGCGAAAACACAGAATCTCGTGTCGAGAAACTCATCGCCGAATACGAATCCGTATCCTCACATCGAGAAAATTGACTGCAGTTAACTTGAGTGCACAGTGCGCAACGTAACGTGACCGACTTAAGGCTGACGGATTTCGAGCGGAATATGAATAAATTTATCGAAAGAGTGTACGAAGGGGTGAGAGAAGGGTGAGAGACCGGGGTGAGAGCTCGATGCGAAAGCCAAACGATAGTGGGGGGAGAAGGACGAACAGAAGAAGGGGCTCCAAAAAGAGTTTGAAACTGCTCGGGGAACCCCTGTATTATAAATATCACCTATGAAAGATGGCGCAGACAGCAGCAGGGAGGCGATGGGGCTGGGGGACGTCTGGGTAAAGGAGTGGAACAGAACCGGAATTAGCATAATCAGAATAATTTCCACCAGCTGACAGCGCCCTCATTCTTTTTCCTGCGACGCGATTCTTCCGCTGCTTTATTTTCCGTTGTTTTCCGCCTTCCGCCGCCATCTCCACCACCGTCGTCGTCATCGTCGTCGTCGTCGTTGTCGTCGTCGTCGCCACTTCCACCGCAGTATCTCGAATTCTCGCGCCGTTTTCGCGACTCTGCTTGGCGCATCGCGCATTGACCCGCAGCAATAGCGAGATAACCGGACATTCTGAGGATATCCAGAGGACATTCGACATCCTCAGGATGTTCTCCGAACGTTTTCGGAGATTCTGAGAATATCCAGAGAACATTCGAACATCCTCAGGATGTTCTCCGAACGTTTTCGGAATGTGCGTGCTGTTATAGGTTAAGTATATACCCCATAATATCCAAGTCGCGGTATATCGGTTTTACATTCCAGTCTTGAAGTTTCCGCTCGAATGTCATAATATTTCACGAATAGAACGCTAAAAAATGAAATTAAAATACAAGAATACCCGGAATCTCTCGCGAGAATCCTCGAAAGGAGGCGAGCATTTTCTAGATCGATTTCTTCAGGGAAAGATGCTACCAGAAAGTTGCAGGTCACGTATAGTTCGGATACTTGCCGCGGTATGGCGCCTCGTGCCGCCATGCTCGACCGCCGTTCACCTTCCACGCTTTGACTACTACCCCCCTTTCCCCCATCCCCCATTTTCCCCCCTTCTCTACCTACAATCTCACGAATATATCAAAGTTCATGCGTTTCTACCTAATATCACTTGCGTGCACGAGCAAACCGAGCCCTCCCCCTGGCCGTTCCCTCTCGCAGCTTCTCCTCACTTCCATGGCAGACCAAGTTGCGCTTTACGTGCTGGCAACGGCGACCCTCCGAGCTCTTCCCCTCTCTGCTTCCTCTAACTCTCTCTCTCTTGCTTTTCTGATCTTTATTCATTCTTTCACCTCGCCCATTTCAATATTTTTACGTTTTAACCGAAGGAAACTCGAACCTTGTCTCGCGTGCACGTAAGGAGTCCAAACGCGCGCTCTATAAATCTCGTAGCTCGTAACGTTGATCGCTTGCGTAACGCAGTATCCCGAAATGGAATAGGAAAGTTCTGCCATTAGGTCGCTTTATGAAACATGCTTTAAGATTCGAGCGCAGACAATTTGTACCCGTGCCAAAAGTGTCGCGGAAACTTGAACTATTTCCTGCTTGTACGAGACACGGAGGAGAGATCCTAAGGGGTCGGCTGTATATTTTTTATTTTTCTTAACACCAAATTTACAGTTTTGTGGAAAATAATAGCACCGGTTGAAAACATGAGGGGAATTTGTATGTTTCCTCCACCATGTTTACTCCATCTAGGATTAAATTCTGACTTTTGTCGTCTTCGAACGAACTGACGAATACCAGGAAATCCTTTAATAATCACTTTTCGACAGTGGAGGAAATATACAAATTCCCCTCATTTTTTCAACCGGTGCTATTATTTCGCACATAACTGTATATATAATAATTGATATTTTACAAAATATATATTTAGTAATTTAGATCGATATTGAACGAACAACGACGAACAAACAACGAATTTTGTAAATGTTCTCTTGGTATGCGCCTTAACGGACTGACAGAATGCTTTAAGTGATTCGGATTTCGCACTTCGGAGGACAATTTGGTCGCCTTCCAGGAGGATTGACTTTTGTGGTCTTCGAACGAACTAACGAATGCCAGGAAATTCTTTAATAATCACTTTTCGACGGTGGAGGAAATATACAAATTCCCCTCATTTTTTCAACCGGTGCTATTATTTCGCACATAACTGTATATCTCTGCTTATATCCTCCAGCTCGCGGTTAATATCATTTGCGCCGTCGACAAAGGGAGAAGCGTTTCCTAAAAAATACCGAAAAAGCCTCCGTCTTTCGATAATAGACCGTTCTGTTTCGATATTATCCATCCATTATTCATCCGGAATAAAAGTGGAATCTCTTAGAATCGCATTCGCGGTAAATCCGAACGGCGAAAAATGTCTGATTCAGATTCAAATGCTCATAGATCCCGCTGTAGATCCCGCGGGCGTTTCGCAGTCCATTGTATTTATTGGTAGAAACAGGCGACCGGGGTGAAAGCCACCTTATGTAAGTATACATGTACTCATACTTCACCGTTCGCTCGCGCGCACATTCGTGTGCTCGGTCGCATTCATCCGTACACGAGTACGTACGTTTACAAAGACGAGTTTCGCTCGAGAAGGTCTCGGAGCTCGTCAACCGAAAGCTACAGTTTGTGCAAAAGTTTTGCGCCAACTGTTCCTCTTTCGTTTTCCCTCGTCGAAACGAATAAATGACAAATTCCAGATCCGATTGCCGATTCAAAACAGCGATACATCGCGATGTTCAAAAATGTGTCTTTTTTTTTTAATTGCATATCCTGACTTTTCCTATATCTTTGTTCTGTGCGAAAGCGATCGGTAATTATATACAGAAACATAAAAAAAAATGAAAATCGCAAAGAGAGATTTTCACGTGCTGCGTTACGTAGAATGCGAGATATAAAAGCAATTTTGCTGTACGCGAGTGTCGCTGAAAACGAATTTTTCACACGGACGCGAAGTTTAAAGGCACGCAAAGCTGCACGTAGCACGAATACACGTAGACACACGCAGACACATACACACACACAAGCATGCAAGACTTGCCACGTCACCAGCACTCGGATCCGCGTCTATCTGTCAGTTTCCAGTCTCAAACAAGATGGATGGCTGGCGAATGGAAATCATGGTTGAAACCCAACCCCATACCCTTGCTTCCTTCCACTGTGAGAGAGCGCCCCTCCATTCTGCGACCACCCTTATGCCGAGAGGGCCACCTCCCCCGCGTTATTCCACACTTCGTTCTCCCGTATCATCCTCCTACGCGTATTCACCCTTCCCGAAATACAAATATATATTTGAAAGATCTATTTGCTATATATATATATATATATATATATATTTTATATTTACGATATATTTTCAGCTGTTTATAATTATCTCGTTTCTAATATATTTATTTTATATAATTATAATTGCATATGTATTGTAATAATTTCCGATTATATGTTTGAAATATATTTCTTAACAGGCATTAAAGAGTCTTAATGATTTATTGGGGAAATCGTTTTGAATACAAGATAAGTAAAAGGAAAAGAAAAAAGCAGAACTTGTTCAAATTAAAATCAGAGAATGATTTCAGTCAATGTAATTTAAATACGCAGAATAAGACAAGGAAAAAGATATTGGATATATATGCACATACGTCTTATTTTAACTAATATCTCATAATTGTTTATTGTCATTTATTTGTGGCATATAAGTATATTGATTATTTTTTAAAGAATATTTTCCATATAAATGCCATTTAGATAATAATTAACATTTATCTATTATTATTATTATCAATAAATTTAAATTTTAGTTTTATCTTTATCTATATATTTCTAGTTTATTTCTTCTACGATAAGCACATTTTTTTAAAGGTCAAGTACAATCAAAATTACAAAGCCATATTGAATATGATTGTTCATAGTAGTTAAGACTAGTTCCCGATAAGTCGCTTAATTACTAAAAATATTTTAATTTCAATCTCTGATTGATATTTGTAAGAATATAAAAAGAGAGCAATATAAAATATTTTTGGACGGTTCTTATTATATGTTTTATATAATAGTATATAACAGTATTGAACATCATAATGCAAATTATGGTATAAACATTGCTACTTAATGCAATAGCATTATAATTATGAATTGTCTCTTGAATCAACTACAGTTAGTTATATCTATATCCAAAATTTATACGCGCGTTATTTTGTACGTTATTTGCACATTATTTGCTCGTTATTTTCTACAATTTATACTAATATAAAATATCACTGGTATAAAAGCTTTGGATTTAATAAATAATTATAGAGTATTATCAACTTTTTTTCGCAATATGGAATACATTTATTAAACAAAATTATTCGTCAAATCATTCTAAGCTCCAGATAAATCAATCAGACAATTCTACATTCTTTGCAGACATATACAATCATACATATATATATATATATATATATATATATATATATACATACATATGCACTCCGTTCTCCATGCATATATTGCATACCTATAACTGCATGTAATTTCCAAAACTGTAAAGATCATTGAAGACATTATTCTCTTGAAGGAGTGATGCGTTCTGATTCGACGGACAATTGACGTTGTCGTTGCTTGCATAGCCGTTCAGCTTCTGCGCATAAGAATTCGCGTCTTGCAAGTCGATACCGTTCTGCACGTGTAGCGGATTCCATTGAAGGTAATTGTTGCTCGACTGCAATTGAGCGGCGATTGAATGGCCGGTGTTGACGGTCAGCTGTTCATACGCACTCGTTTGGGAGGAATAAAGTATATTATTGTTATGCAACACATTGTAGGATTGCACTTGCGGCTGCTGCATTGATTCGTTGATTGACGCAGGATAATTTTGCGTGAAAATCCCATAATTTCCTATCGTCTGATCGTTGTTCGATGATACCTCGCTCGGATATACATAGGAGGCACCTAACGTCGAACTGTCGGTACTCGAAGACTCGAAGGAGGTCTCCAAAGAGGATGTTGTCTGCCCGCTAGTTTTCTGATCGTGGTTGGAAGCGTCGATCAATTTAGGCGGGGATTTCTTAGACTTGGCATTCTCTTCCTTTTTATTTTTCATCCTCCGATTTTGAAACCATACTTTAATCTGTTTTTCGGTCAACTTGAGATTCTGCGATATTTTAATGCGTCGCGATCTGCAAAGATACTGCCCGGTGGTGAATTCCTTTTCCAACTCGAGCAATTGTGAACTAGTGTACGCCGTTCTGGTACGTTTCGCCTTTATCTGTTTCTTCTCGGTTGCTGGAATTCAAAGTTGATAATTGTTAAAAAAATATATATGTGTGTATTTATGGAAAATATATTTTTAGTGTTTTTTTCCCGCAATGAGAGAATAAGATGAAAAATGAACAACGATGAAAAATCGATTTACGTAGTACAATTAAGAAAACGCGAAAAAATTATATTTGAAACTGTACAGAGAGAAATGGCGAGAAAATAATTCAAGAAATAATTGTGCATTAATATATTTTATATTTCTCTGAATCACTATCTCTTGAGTCTTTTATAATCCCTAAATAAGATATTATATTATTTACGCATTTCTGTCATTAAATATACATTTTGTTTAAAATAAAAGTTATTGAAACAAAAAATTAGATGTATATATAAGATAGAAAATATTGATGACTAACGCAGAGATGTAGGGAGAAATTTAGATATGTCAACAATAAGGGGAATGAGTTCTGCAGCAAATTTTAAAATTCCTAAACGATTACGTGTATCCTTTTATATTATTCATTTTAGCTCTAAAAATTGAAAACCTCGATTCTTATCACACACAGATGACACTTCATTTATGTACACAGTTGAAATATTTGTGATAAATTTGACAGGTATCACAGATATCAGTCAATTCAACAGATGTCTCAAACGGTTCACAGAAATTTTTTGTGTTAATTTAACATAATATGGATATGTTAAATGGAGACACAAATATTGTGTTAATATTTTAACACAAAATAGATGCAAAACTTCAAATAATTTAAAATAAATTTTGTGTAAAATTAACATAATTTTAATGTAAAAATTAACAAGAAATATGTTAATTTTAGATTTCATTATCCCCACTTACATTATAAAATAGAAAATCAACATTTTTTCTGTAAGCCTTAACAGAAAAATCTTGTCACTAATAAAGCAGAACATATTAATTGTGTAAAATTGAAAATAGATGCACATTGTGTTATTGTTACATTTTTTTCAGTTGTTTTAATAATTTAACATTTAAGTTCAATTAACAGAATAGTAATATCTTAAATTAACACATAAATGTGTTAAATATTTAACACAAAAATTTTAACGGGGTTTCGTTTTTAATAAGATAACACAAATTTTTTTACTGTGCATGGAATGCATCATGCTAAACATATTGAAAGAAAATTCTGAAGAATTTCACTAATTGCGAGAATGATTAGAAAGTTTGGAATGCATCAAAGAGAACTGTCAACGCCGATAACACGGGACATATTGTCACACAAAGATCGCACAGCGGATGATCCGTAAACGAGTCATTATACCTGCTGTGCGTCTCAAAAGCCCGACAGTAAAGGTGGCTTATTTCGATAATACGATGACCATCGGGATTAATGACCGAATATTAATCATCGGCGAAAATTGGTTGTAAATATCTTCCAAAGAAAGTTGATATCATTGTAAGAAAAAATTTAGAATCGTAATCTAGAGTTAAAGTTAAAGAATTCATGTGACCGTCATACAATAGTTCATTAGACATTGTTATAAATTTTGTCATAAACGTCTTTGTGTAAAAATAATTCTATACCAATGCATAATCTCTTGAATGCTTTTCATAATCTTTGAATTTTTGAAACATAATGAATCACATGCGCGCAGATGTTTTTTTATTCTCTGTCTGTATTATAGACAAAATATAAATAATATACGTATAATCTAAGAAAATTAGCAGTTTTGCGAAAAATATAATATCAATAAAGTATCAAAAATGAAAAATAACTGAATAAGAAAATCTGTTAAAAGATTAATTTGTACAACAGTTTCTTTTGCCGAAAAAAATAAAGTAAATTATGTCTAAATTAATATACAATTACAAAACTATTTTTTTCAACGAAATGCTTTTTACACATACAGTTTGATCTTGAACTTTCTTCATATTTTCCAATATACGTTATAAACAATTTTTTATTGATGCAATTGATATATAGTAATATACTATTAATAATTAATTAATTAATTAAGATAAATTTAAATCTAGTCTGATTTAAACTGGTACATTGATAAGAAGTAACACATCATTAACGTTAATGCAATTAACCGCTCTACATATGAAAATTTACGCTAATTATCGCATTATTAAACTGGATGCACAGTATATTTGATATTACGTTGACGTGACGTTACATGCAACTTTATGCACACCTTTACACATATTGTAATTCATCGTTGTCGCAAAATTGAAATATGGCTGCTCAAATTCCTCTCTCTGCTCATTCTGTAGTACTTGTTGTTGTTGTTGCTGCTGTTGTAGTTGCAGTTGCTGTTGCTGTTGTTGCTGTTCTTGTATCACTAATTCTGGTGAAATTGATTGAAGTACCAGCTGCTCCAGCTCGATTCGTTTCATTTTTCTCGAGCCTAAAGTGTTCTTGTCGTCGTAAAATGATTTATTATAATGTTCACGATCTAGATTGTTAATATCACTATTATAATTGTTTGCCATTGAATTTATGGCGTCAAAGTTTCCAGAACACTTATAGTATTTATCTATTTCAAAATTGTTTTGTAGTTGATTGCACTCAAAATCCCGAAGCAACATTTCTCAATATTTTATCATTTAACGACAGTAACAAATTTATTATGCGACTGAGACGTAGTCTTCATACGAAATTCTATTTGACAGTCTGCATATCACGTACGTTATATTCACTTATCGAAGATTCGAACTGTGACTCGATGTCTTTCACTCTTTGAATACTTAAAAATTAAACTGATATTTTACCTATCGATGCTTCGACGGTCAGCGATAGACTGAAGCCTATCCTATTTAAATTGGTTCTACATACCTGAGAAGGGAGAACGGTGAAAAGGAGTTTACTGATAGCAGCTAAGTGACAATGACGTCATCCAAAACTTTCTAATTTGCGATAAAATTTTATCTACATCACGCGTTATTATGACTATTTAGAAATTGTCGAATCATGTGTTTTTTCTGGCGATTTATCTTACATATAAAATCTATTATTTATTTTTAAAATCTATTATTTATTTTAAAAATACATATACCGAATTTTTTATATTTTCACAATTTTTGCATTTTTAAAATTTTTTTGTCCAATTTGGATTTCTTCAGACAAATTTGCATAGTCGTATAATGCACCATAAAATCAAACATAATTTTAAGTTTGCTTTACGAATCTCTAGAGAGGCGATGTTTATGGGCGTCAAATATATTCCAATATATAACTTTGTTTTCATATCATGTTTTAATGTTTTATTAATTTTTAAATTTTGTATTGAAAAAGACCTTAGTGAGGTCGAAACGTTTACATGTGAAGAATATTAATAATAAAGAAAAAGTTTTTATTTACTTTATCTAATTTTTGCTCGATTGTTGGCCTATTAAGTTACTTTTATAACTTTGTTTATATAAGAATACTTAATGAAAGATATTATACTATATGTATAATTAGAAATTATGTCTAATACATATAATGTACTAAAATGCAAAGTGCGCATGTAAAAAAAAATAATAATGAAATAAGCAAAAACATGGACATTAAGAAAAATGTCTGACTCTTTAAATTATTGTCAAAACAGATGATTCTTTTGCTTAAAATTATAGTTTTCACGTGCGATAGGTCTTTAGATATTGATTTCGTTTATCTCATTTTTCAGATTGTCTTAATAATATGTGAAAGAAATATGAGCGAAAATTGTTATATATATAGATTTTTATTTCCAAAGTTTTTCCACGCAATGAATATTAATACTAATATAATTGAAAAATCTTGCTATAAAATCTACATCGCATTTTTTGATTGTCGAACGGATCGAAAGGATCGTAATTGACAATTCTTCTTGATTTATAGATTTCTATTCTGAAGCAGTGCGTATTTTATATTAAGACTTTTTAATAATAATTCGTATACATATCGATACACACACATCGCCATATACGCGATAAATTTTCGCCTTCATAGACAGACTTTTCCCGCGAACTTATGTTATGAAACAGCGATGGGGATAGGTGAGAAGGGAAAAACGCGGAGATCGGGACTTCGAGATACGAAACCGGGAGATTGATCAGCGTCATCCTGTCCGTCTATCCCTGGACTCTCTCTCTCTCTCTCTCTCCGGTATTTCTCCTCCCCTTTCACTACCGCGAGAGATTCTATATTGTCTTTTTGTCCGCTTCGCGTCTCTTTTCCGCGCGCTCGCTCTCTTTTCCACTCTCCTTCTTACTCTTTCCCATCCTTCTCGACGTCTTTCCTCTCCTCTCGGAATCAGCCATTCTCCATCCGCGCCGGAGAGCTGTCTGCAGATCCGCGCCACCGGTTTTCCAACCTTCCTCGCCCACCCCAAGGACGAACATCCTCCGACTCTCGGCCACATCCACCCCTCGGCGAAGCTTCCTCATCGTCTGAGCGTCCTCTTTTTCTACGCCTGCTTGTTCCGTGGACAAAGATCGCCGCGATAGAAAAAGAAGGCCAGCGGAGGGATGGCGAGGGGGTGAGTAATACCGTAGGAAGAAAAAAAGAGAGAGAGAGAGAGAGAGAGCATGCTCTCGTTGCTTCTTTCGTTCTCTTCTTGCAATCAACTTTTTGGGCGGGATCACGCGTCCGCACCTTCGCCGTTTCCGTTTTACCCGCCGAAAATTATTGCTTCGCGGCTGCGATATCCGTATTTGTATTTGGTTCACGGATATTTCAGCGGCTCATAAAATATTCATCTCGTAAGAAAAAATATGTATAGAGGTGCGAGAAAAACTTTTTTTTTAATTCCTTTGGATATAAATATAAAATATATCGCAGGGATTAATTAATAGAAGACAGAATGGAGACATAGATCAAGATGCGATATTTTGCATCAATTGTTTATATTATAATAATAAAATGCATATACATGTGCGAGAAATTCTCTTTGAATAAGAACGCTGGGTAAAAAATTATAGTGTGTAAAAAATTAATTTGCATTTTATAATTTCGATGTTAAAATTCTGAAATTATATATGTAAGCAAGGAAATGCCAGTCCACATTTTTTTGCGATTATTCATCGAAGAACAAACTTTTCACCTGTCATTATAAAGGAATGTGTAAGATGAAAAGCGAAAAGAAAATAAATTTTATTCAAACAAATTTCTTACCTTTGGAACTTTCTCTGATAAAAGATTTTGATGAAATAGAAAATTTGTTGTTGTATCAACATGATATGCTATGAAAAACATAAATTTCCAAAATTTCTCTCTGTTAGAAATTAATTTGGATTTTGGTTGGTGAATTTGATAAATGTTAATGATATTGGATGATGTTAATTTTGGATAACTGCTAATAATGTTTGATATATTTGTTTTTCTTTTTTTCACGTGAATAAAAAACAGAATTATTTTAAAGTTTAAACATATTTTTTAAATTTTCCTAATAACAGATTAGCCAAATAAAAAACTATCAACATGACTAATGTGTCGTAAGGAAAAACAAATTTTCTCTATAAGAAGATAATTTTATTTTTGGAGATAAATGCATGTTTGATATATTTCTTTTTATTTTTTATCTAAACAAGAAATCGAACTAGCTCGATAATTAAGAGCGCGACTTTCATTATTACACAAATACGCGATCATCATCTTAAATGCTTATATTCCAACAGCAAAGAGCTTATAGGCTGTTTCTCCTTACGTTCCTCGCGTTTACGCAATAATGAATTTTGATTTTGGCTGATGGATTTTTGATAAATGTTAATGATATTGGATGATGTTAATTATGGATAACTGCTAATAATGTTTGATATATTTCTTTTGGAAATCGAACTAATAATTAAGAGTGCGACTTTCATTATTACACGAATACGCGATCATCATCTTAAATGCTTATATTTTATATACGTTCCACGCGTTTACGCAATAATGAATTTTGATTTGGCTGATGGATTTTGATAAATGTTAATGATATTGGATGATGTTAATTATGGATAACTGCTAATAATGTTTGATATATTTCTTTTGTTAAACAAGAAATCGAACTAGCTCCATAATTAAGAGTGCGACTTTCATTATTACACGAATACGCGATCATCATCTTAAATGCTTATATTGCTCCAACAGCAAAGAGCTTATAGGCTGTTTCTCCTTACGTTCCTCGCGTTTACGCAATAATGAATTTTGATTTTGGCTGATGGATTTTTGATAAATGTTAATGATATTGGATGATGTTAATTATGGATAACTGCTAATAATGTTTGATATATTTCTTTTGTATTTTTTATTTAAACAAGAAATCGAACTAGCTCCATAATTAAGAGTGCGACTTTCATTATTACACGAATACGCGATCATCATCTTAAATGCTTATATTGCTCCAACAGCAAAGAGCTTATAGGCTGTTTCTCCTTACGTTCCTCGCGTTTACGCAATAATGAATTTTGATTTTGGCTGATGGATTTTTGATAAATGTTAATGATATTGGATGATGTTAATTTGGATAACTGCTAATAATGTTTGATATATTTCTTTTGTATTTTTTATTTAAACAAGAAATCGAACTAGCTCCATAATTAAGAGTGCGACTTTCATTATTACACGAATACGCGATCATCATCTTAAATGCTTATATTGCTCCAACAGCAAAGAGCTTATAGGCTGTTTCTCCTTACGTTCCACGCGTTTACGCAATAATGAATTTTGATTTTGGCTGATGGATTTTTGATAAATGTTAATGATATTGGATGATGTTAATTATGGATAACTGCTAATAATGTTTGATATATTTCTTTTGTATTTTTTATTTAAACAAGAAATCGAACTAGCTCCATAATTAAGAGTGCGACTTTCATTATTACACGAATACGCGATCATCATCTTAAATGCTTATATTGCTCCAACAGCAAAGAGCTTATAGGCTGTTTCTCCTTACGTTCCTCGCGTTTACGCAATAATGAATTTTGATTTTGGCTGATGGATTTTTGATAAATGTTAATGATATTGGATGATGTTAATTATGGATAACTGCTAATAATGTTTGATATATTTCTTTTGTATTTTTATTTAAACAAGAAATCGAACTAGCTCCATAATTAAGAGTGCGACTTTCATTATTACACGAATACGCGATCATCATCTTAAATGCTTATATTCCAACAGCAAAGAGCTTATAGGCTGTTTCTCCTTACGTTCCTCGCGTTTACGCAATAATGAATTTTGATTTTGGCTGATGGATTTTTGATAAATATTAATGATATTGGATGATGTTAATTTTGGATAACTGCTAATAATGTTTGATATATTTCTTTTGTATTTTTATTTAAACAAGAAATCGAACTAGCTCCATAATTAAGAGTGCGACTTTCATTATTACACGAATACGCGATCATCATCTTAAATGCTTATATTGCTCCAACAGCAAAGAGCTTATAGGCTGTTTCTCCTTACGTTCCTCGCGTTTACGCAATAATGAATAATTATCGCGAATAGTCTTCGAGATATCGAAGACGCGCATTGATATAGAGAGCAACGGGGAAGATGACGAACGGAGGAAGATATTTTAACCGCAAGAACGAGTGAGCTGACATCAGGAAGAAGGAAAGGCGGGTATGAAGGGCTTGGTTGGAATACGGGGAGATAGTAGACAACGTGCATACGTATACAGAGACGACGGGTGAGTAAGGCGATGGAGGACAGGAAGGAGGACGGGGTGCGGGAAGAGGAAGGAGAGAGTGAAGGGAGGATCGGTTGAAGTAGGAGGGTAAACCTTTCCCGACCCTTAGCAACGCTCTCGCGACGCGCTATCCTGCGGA